TGAATTGAATTGAATTGAACTTTCTGGAGTTTGATGGATTGAGGATTGAATGAGTTTTAGGCTGACTTGTGTTGTTCAGCTGACAAAAGCTGAAATTCCCCACGAGAAAAGCATCCACTGTCGACCAGCATAATCATTACTACCTGACGTAATCTGTATTTTAGCAATTTTTCTATTTTGGAAGTGAATGATAGAGTCAAAGGATTTATTACTTAACTTAAGAAAGGGAGAACCTGAGCACTCAGATAAAATAAATGGCACCTGGCAGAAACATTTTGTAATAGGAATGTGAAGATGATGCAAATATGTGAGATGTAAGATCCAAATAAAAAAAAGTTTCACTTTGGTCCTTCGATGTCTGATGTCTGCTATCACAGGGGTGATAAACATAAAATGTTTTCAGACACATCTGCTGACAGGGCTGTCAGTATGGCTGCTAAACTACAGGTTATGAACTCAAAATGTAAAGAGCAGGTAATTATCGGTAATGGTGTCCGTAAAAAAAAAATCCATAACGTGCATCCCCAATCATCATATTAATAGTTGTTTTTCACTAAAAACTAAATTTGTGATGCAAAGAGGATAATCCCCACACTAATTGTGAGTCATATCGCAATATATGTCAGTCTGAACAATCGCAATGTGATGTTTTTACCATATCTGCCAGCGCCTTATAAACAACATACAGTATGCCATGTAATAAACATCAATTCAATTCAAATTCATGTTTATTTGTATGCCCGCAACATTCATAACAGCAAGTTATCTCAGGACACTTTTCAAATAGAGCAGGTCTAGACGCAACTCCTTATAACATTTACAGAGACCCAACAGTAACCCCATGAGCAAACATGAGAAAAAAAATATGAATTAACCTTACATTATACACAACAACGTGTAGTGCTGTGTGCTCTGTTACAGATAGCTTATTACAAGCACTATGGCCCGGAAGAAGCCCGTGTGCTGGAGCCTCTGGGTGAGACCTGAGACCTGAGCCGGTGGACAGTGCTGGTTCCTGGCTCCCGGCTCTCTGCTCTCTGCTGGTGGATTGTAGTGGGGACTTTCTCAAACATAGAGCCGATACGAAAAAAGACATTTGTGGGAGTGAAGGACAGGTCTGCGGGGCGCTTTCGATGACATTACGTAGCTGAAATGGGCTTATACTAACCAGATATAAACTATGTCACGTTATTTCTTACAAGATGGCAGATCAGCGGAAATGTTGTCATATTTAACAATGTTGGTTGTTATATTACATGCTTTCTATCAAGCGTTTACTCTTCTACCGACATGAAAATGAAAACTAAAATTATGTCTGTTCACTTTAGGTTGACGGTAGGGACTTTTTGTAGACGGCTGTTTGACCTCCCCAGTCAACTCGTTAGCTTGCTTATGGTTGAAATGGTATTAGCCTTCTGTCACTGCAAGCTAGCCAACCAGCTAGCTATGCTGTTATGCGTTGTTGACATCGGTTCTACCTGATAACAACGTCAATAAAGTGTCGTGTTCATTCTGAACTTTAACATTAGGCAGCATTTAGCGTAAAGAAGCCAAGCTTATTTACAGTAAAATCCGCTATGGCACCTTGAGCCAGGCTGTGGGTCACTGAATGACAGCACGCTAATGCCAACATGGTAGCTAGCTGACTGTAGCTAAGTAAAGGAAGACTTACCCGGGCTGTGGCATTAGCTCCTTTCAGACAAGCTCTCAGCATGGTCCTCAATCACTGTCTTCAAATACTTGTCAATTTCAACACTAACTAACCCAGCTCTTTGCTTCTTTCCTCCTTCGCGTTTTCTTTTTCCTTCTACTTCTTCGGCTTTGTAATTGAGGTAGTTGAAACGCTTGTGTGCGAAATACTGCCTCCCTTAGTCAAAACTAGAAATGAACGCACAGTTCTCTCAAGCTATCTAAATATATTGTGTCAGAAGTATGTTCCATCTCAAAACCCATCATTGATTTCATTTCTGTTACTACCTCTAGCCAATAGGATTGGATTACTGGACAATTCCAAAATATGCAGAAGTAATTTTTACATTGTCTCCAGCATTGCCCAAAATCTGCTCTACCATTCTGTAACTATTTTCTTCTTGGAACATTAAAAAAGCTGATAATATTCTTCCATGAAAAATTCTCTCCACTGGCCAAAACTGGATGTGGTGGATTGTATTTTACATACAGTATATCTAGCCACTCCTCTTCAGTCAGTGTTATGTTTGCTAACTTCTCCCATTTTGCTTTAATATATAAAGTGGAGTGGTTCTTGGAGGATTGTATGCAGTAGTAAGTATCTATAATCCTGTCTATCTACATCGTGAATGTCAGTAAGATACTAAAGGCTTTCCAAGCCTGTATTGGTTGAGATTAAGCAATATGAAATAATGCCTTTCCAAATCCATTGTTTGAACCTCAAATCCAGTAGTGTAGGTTTAACATTCTTTGAATCAGATATTAAGAGGAACCATTGTCCAATAACTTAATTTATGTGAATGCATTCTTTTAGAATGTTTAGCACCCATAATTGATTGCAGGGCAATATCCAATTGGCTTATTTGTAGTTCTTTCCATTCTGCATTATAATCATCATTGCACCAGCAGACTAAATATTTCAACTGTGCTGCTTTGTAGTTATTCTACCTTTCATTCTACCTTATCTTTTGGTAGCTGTAAGTGTTTTGAGAATTTGATCATACATATTGAGCATTATGGGTACCCATCTATCCAGATCCATTTTTATTTCTTTCGTGATTGGATTATAATTTATACCATAAATGTTGGCCACATTATTTGGTATATTAACGAAGAGGTATTAAAAAGTGTAGGGTTTCCATTTGAAGGTATACTTTATACATATGGTCTTGTGGGGTGAATAGTTATAGCTACAGGTTTCGGTTTTATGTATATTTAATTTATACCCTGAATAAAAAACTGTTCAATGATAGGACATGAGTTGGCTAGAGCATAGCATTGTTCAAAATGTCTTGGTATGCTGAAGCATTAACACAGCCCTTCACTGGAGATAAGGGGCTAGCCCAAACCCTGAAAAAACCAATCCCCATACCATTATCCCTCTTCCACCAAAAACTTCACAATTTGGCACAATGCAGTCAGCAGGGAAAGTTCTCCCGGCATCAGCCAAACCCAGACCCGACCACCTTGACAGCCAAACCCAGAAAGCGTTATTTCATCACTCCACAGAACACGTTCTCCACTCTCCACAGAAAACACGTTTCCACTGCTCCACCAGTCCAGTGACGATGCGCTCACACCACTCCATCCGACGCTTTGGCATTGGACTTGGTGATGTGAGGTTTTGCATGTAGCTGCATCGGCCAGGGAAACCCATTCCCATGAACAGTTTTTGTGCTTACATAATGCAAGTGCAAGTTCGGAAACTCTTTCGCTAGGAGTCAGCAGACATGGCGACTTTTTCGCACCATGCGCCATTAGCAAGTCGTTGACCCAGCTCTGTGATTTAACGTGGTCTTCCACTTCGGCTGAGTTGCTGTTGTTTCGCAAACGCTTCAACTTTTCTAATAATTACCACTTTACAGTGACCGAGGAATATCCAGCAGGGATGAAATTTTCCGAACAGTCTTATTGCAAAGGTGGCATCCTATCACAGTACCACGCTTGAAGTCACTGAGCTCTTCATGAACGACCCATGTTGGCATCACAAATTGTTTTGCAAAAGGAGACTGCATGGTAGTGCTTGACTTTATACACCTGTGGCAAGGGGTCTGATCGTGAAATCACTCTGAATCTATAAGATTATATATCAACAGGTGTGGCCATAATTATCTAACTTTTTATCTTCATCTAAATTGATAAGTGAATTTATAGTTTGTGTCTCTTGATTTCTTAACTAGTAGACTCCTGGTTGTATTCAATCTTAATAAGATTGCTGTAGTCAAGTTCTATATATCACTTTTTTTGTTATTTTTT